GTGCTGGGTAATATACTTTTAAAACTAGTGTTCCAAACACCAAAATTAATTTGTAACTTCCTGCAGTAATTTCAAGTAATCATAAAGAGCACAACTACGGAATATTACATTCGTTGGAAACTACCCTAACTACTACAACCGCTTAATAAAGCCGAGAAAACCGTTCCCAAACCCAAATGGAGTACCGGCTTTGCGAACGGTAAATAAAACCGAATTCATTTTGGCTTTTAAAAATGCCCTTCAGGTGGTAACAATTCTTCAGCTCTTCCCATGCTTGCCGCTAAAAATGACCACAGATCCTTTAATAAACCGCAGTAGTTTCCAAATTCTCGACTATATAAAAGAATTAACTTCCCGTGACTTAAAAATATGCAATTAATGGTTTCCTAAACTGAAGCTGATAATGTCTTGACCACTTAAAAAAAAAACGACGACTAGATCTTTAGAAGTGTTCTTGGAAGCTGAAATTATTTAGCTTTTATACAGTACTTCTTAAGACAACAATAATTTATTTCTACGCTACTACTTGAAACTTCATAAAGTTTGTTGAAAAATTCAAAACAAGGAGACCATATACTAAAACAAATAAATAATTTTAATTTCGCTCCTTAACAGCAGTAACAACAACAGGAATTGTATGAGCAATATAAAAATTTATTAGACTATTATATGAACAAATAAAATTTTATATTCCAGTAGCAAATGATAGAACCGGCGAAAACCTAGCAGTGACGAAGAAAGATGAGGAAAAAAAATAGAGAAACCATACCGTCCATGTACATGATGACAGGAAGTGTAATAAGGCTAGAAACAGCACTTTTTAAACACCATTTTGACCATCAGTGACATGAAAGTGTCAAGAAAATGCATACGTGTAACCAAAGTGTTCTCGGTACGAATGCAGCAACAGTCGCTGATCACTGCATACTACTAAAAAATTTCAATGCTGTTACCTTTGAGGAGTGAAGTTGAATTATTGCCAATTATTTGAACGGAACACTTTGCTGCAACAATAGCAGCGGTAACTGATTTCAGCAACAAAAGCCGCTGATATCTGCTTGCGCGACCAATCCCCTTTTCTTCCTGATGCCCTTTCAAGTTGCTGCTGTGAGTGACTAGGATTAATAGTTTTATTTGACTCTTCACTATATTTCCTGTTTTAGTATGGGGTTTAACTTTTTGGTGGAAATAAGGCACATGAATACTATGAAAGTTTGTGTCTGATAATCTTTTTGAAATTACTTTTGAAAGTTTTTTCGTTTTTTTGAAGTCTAAAAAAGGATTTTTTTTTTTCATGCCTAACTATTTGTAATATATTCAAAGCTTCTTCAAATTTGTACTGGCAGGCGATGAAAAAAATTTTGTTTTGCCGCGTTAATATTTAAGACATTTCTGATGGACGCATGCACTGGGAATGTTCGGCGCATCAATATTTCTTTGTAAGTCAATCATTATTATTTCTGTTACTTTGGTCTGTGATTCGTTTCGGTTTTTCCTCACTTCTTTCGAAATTTCGCAGATGCATTTTAAATAGTTGAGAGTCAACTATGTGGAATTTAACTTTTAAGAAGTTATATCCATTTACTCTGTTTCGATTGCACCAAATTATTGAGCTTGAAATAAGGTGCCCCATGTTCCGTACATTTCAGAAAGTGAGTCAGGAATGTATTTTATTGGTGGCATATAGTATTAAAGATTTATTGGTTTCTAACTTGTCAGTGTTCATCTGTTAGATGATTGGTGATCTTTAACATCATTTTCTCAATCTAACGAGATGCCTCTGTACTTTTTTTTTAAATGTTTTTTTGAAACTTATAGATTTCTAGATTCCACGCTATTGTTTTTTTGTTTTAGGGAGAAGTTCAAAATAGTTCATTTGCCTCCGTTGTGCATTCAGGCGGCTCATTCCGAAAGATCAGTCTGAGAGAGCAGAAAGGTGTGAAGGAGTGTAACTTCGTCTGTTCAAACGCAGCAAAAGCATTTATATTCAAAGCGGTTAAATGTCTATCTATGAAAGAGAAGGATTCCGCGTTTCTCTCCAGATAACAATAGATAGGTAACCCAAAATGCTGCCCGAGGAGTTGAGCTAACTGAAGAAAATAAGATAGAAATTGGACTTAAACCAACGGCGTCCGTCTTCATATAGTAGTGTTCCTCTCCCAAAATGATGAAGAGACTAGCAGTCTTGATTTAAAAATAGTCAATTATTTTGGCTTTGATTGCCATTGTGATAGCATTATTGCTGATATTTTTTGCTTTTGATTGGTTTTTATGCGGTTAAATGTTTCAATTGAAATTTTTTACTCTAGGCATATTAATTTCTTGGCTTGCTTTTATGTTATTGGTTATAACTCATCTTACGTTGTAGGAGGACGGATTTAAAGAGGCTTCGGGGGAAATAAGATTTACGAAGGACTTATATCTGTTTAGGCCAACCAGTTTTACTGGTGCTGAGAGATTGTAAGTACCGGCTTAATGTTAGATGGGACTGGGTTGAAAACATGAGGTGATTACAGTTTGTATAAAAAATTATTGCTTAGCAGACCGGAAATTGCAAAAGATTTTCAATTTTTCGAATAATATTTAAAAAACCAGGTCAAGCGGAACAAAACGTGTACTTGACAGGCCTTCACCTGGTGTGGAAGAAAATTAACTATTTGTTTCCGTGTATAGTCGTCTTGCTAGGCAAAAAGCGTCTTTGCTCCCATTGAAGGGCGTCAGAACTCGAGCAAAAAAAGTTTATTACAATTATTTCAGTAAAGCTTTTATTTGTATCTCGTATGAATTAGTGTTTTATTAAAATGCTTGCTTGGTCTTTCTGAAGATCGTTTGCGAAAACAATGAAAACTCACCGATGTTCTGGTGTAGTAACGCCAAACAAAGTGCTCTGTCGATTTCACGCAGAAGTAGATCATTTGACTAAAATATGCATATATATACATAGCAATTAACAGTGAGTAGTGGTAAGGAAAACGAGTTTTAAAGTTATTGAGAAAAGCAAGATAAAAAATTAAAAAATAAAAAAATCTACTTCTCAACATTTATAATAGCAGAAACTTTTATTAGGTCATCTAGAAAATCTTGTCCATTTTCTGTATATTGCAGTTCAAGATGGCAAAAAAATCTTGCCTCTAGACTAGACTCCCTGGGATCTGGAGACAATGTTGAAAATTTTCTGATTGTTTGGTAACTGGAAGCTCAAATTAGAGAACTTTGGTATTTCAGGAATGACTAGCAAAGAGAGAATATTTTTGACAGTGTATATTCTATAACTGTCGGGAAGGTTTTTTTGTAAATTTCATTTATCAGTGATTTCTAATCCGCTGCGGTGAGTCGAAAGAGGTGTTCTTTGTGGCTTATTTTTTCTTAAACGTGCCACTTGGTAGACTCAATCCCTGGTCGTCTGCAGAGTTATTGAAGTCTGTTAAAGAAAAAGATTCAATAAAAAGTATTGCTGTATATGCCAAAAAAACTGGTGCTTCTGAACAAGACGCACAGATGCGGTTAGATGCAGTTGCAAAGGCCTGTAAAGTTGAAAACTTGGAGCGTTCAATCTGCAAGGTCTCGATAATGCTGCAACACGTCGCAAAGTGTTGAAAATATCAACGTCCTTGGTGTCCGCCAGGAGGGTTACCAGCATCTGCTTTGATCACTTGATGTCATCACATCGGATTATAGTTTCTTCAAGTTCCTGCAGCATGCTTTTGACCCCAAAAAACTTATTGACGAGAAGATATTGAAAATGTTCTAGAAAGTATCTACTTTTAAATACAAGGACTTTCCAGAGAAGTGGAATTCAAATGGAGGTAACAGCATATACAGTAGCTTGAATTTGTTGCTAGCGAGGTTTAATTTTTCATATTTAACGACGCAAAGTGAAAGGAAGTTTTGAAGCGACCTAATAGGTATTCAAAGTAAATACTGTCCTCAAAGAAATTACCGGAAAAAAGCTGTAACTCAAAAGTACACTGCCACAACTTTGTGCATGTAGTAAACGATATTTTGATGAGTTTCTACATACCTCTGCACCAATTTTGTTCCCATAATCAATTACAAAGACTAATGGTCACTTGAAGACAAAGCAAGATAATGAGACCTCAGATTGAAGGTGTAATAAACGGCAAAGTTGAGTCCATAAGACAACAATTCAGCGATAAAATTTCTTGGTTTCCGCATATTCAGATCGTTTTTTCTCTCCACTGTATCCACCAAAAATAATCCATATATTTCGTCACATTATTTGCAAAAGATAGCGTACAACTTTTAAAGAAGTCAACAGGCGCTAAAGAGTGGCTAAAATCATACAAATATAGTTTTTGGTCAACAATTGTTTTTTTTTTTTTTATTTATCCAATTCAGTACGCATTTTTGGCACGAACCCAGCACAGTGAATGTTGGATTCCATTATTATGTTCAGTGTAGAATTTCACTCAGATAAAATGAGGCTACCTTCAATGTCAATAAATATATACATTTTATTGTTAATTTCTTTACTTGTCACTTATTTTACAGTGAAAGTGGAAATTATTTGTTGTTTTTTATGCCTTACGTATTGTATAGAGTCCATCGGGTACACGCTGGTCATCAAGACAGATCTAAATATTATTTTAATAAATTCTTGCGTCGAAATTGCATTTCATAAAACTTGGGTTAATTTCATGAGTTGAATCATTTTTTTAGCAGCGTGAAGCACTTGTTATGCTTGTGGATAATACTGGAAAAGAAAATGTGGTAAGGGACTCCGAAGTTGAACCCAAAAAAGGGAAAGTTGCTAAAGTGGTTCTGGTAGGTTTTTCTTATTACATTTTTATTTAATTTCAAATGACAGTTCTTAGCTTTCTTTTTCTTGTTTTAGAATGACGAGGATTTGGGTTTTGAAGAAGACATACTTCGAAATCCTTTTTCTCTAAGAAGCTGGCTTCGTTATATAGAACATAAGAAGAAACATGATAAGTCACTGAAGCAGATAAACTTGGTATATGAAAGGGCCCTTAAGGAGTTACCTGGAAGTTACAAACTCTGGTAATTTCCTCAAAAAAATACTTTAAAGCACTCATCTTTAGCTTTTTTTTTTTTTTTTTTTTTTTTTTTTTTT